TTCCGCAACATTTTTATTAAAAGAAGTACTCTGATTTTTATAAAACATAAACAAAATCGGTCTTTTCTGGCCGTAAAAATGGGGATGTCACATGCATGCATTTGGTCATGAGGTGCATTAATTTCATGAGAACAAAAACCAAAAAGAGGTTTTATTTTCTTTTCGAACCACAGAAAGAAGATTTGCTCACTTATTAATGTCCTTGACGACAACACACACATATTTTATATATATATATATAGAAAACAAAGACGAATTCTATTCTTGTGAACCAATCGGTAAGGTAGCCTTTTGTGTATAACTTTTTGTTTTGGTAGGCAAAAGTCTGAGTGACACCTTACAATGAGTGATATCTTACAATGAATGATCAAATTACAAGTGCAGTTTAGTCTTGATTGTAATTTTTGTGGTGATAATAAATACTCTCTCTCTCTCTCTCTCATGGATGTAGGTCAAATTAGAACATACTATGTTAAATATTGTGTTCTGATTTTATAATTTTTCATTTGCAGTTTTCAATAGTTTTATTTGGCTTGTTTTATCGAAATCATTTATCGTTTTTGTCTGAAGTTGCCTAACTAACACTAACGAGTATATATATAGGCCCAAGGTGGGTCACTTGACCTACCTAAGTTCTTTTCTTTTATAACAAACAATATATAAAAAATATATGTGACCTACCATAAATTTTATGAGTGAACCACTTTGACAAAAATATTGAGATAAAGCAAGAGTTTTTTTGCCCATCTTTTATATCTAGCAAGACAAATACTTAGTTCACTTAAAATATTACCTATTAAGAAGTAACTCAATACAACTTAAAATTAGATAATAAAAAAAAGCAAGATCGTGAATATTGATTCATCATTCAAGCGTCGGCCCTCAGCATTACGCACGAATGAAGATGTAAGTAGCAAAAAAAAACTTTAACTCTTTATGGTCGCCATCGCCATTCACTACCGACCCGAACCGCTAATAGTAATTTTTTTATTCTTTCATATTATCAGTTTAATTTAAATAGTGAACCATGTGAGTTTCTGTTCTAAACTCGCCACTGCTAACAGCTAACTAATGTTGTTATCCAAACATGCTTTTGTGAAAGAGAGGGTATAAGTGTAACATGCTCTTCAAATCATAGCCATGGCATTCCACTCTAATCTTAGAATTTGATTTTACTCTTATGTGATCAAACATGAATTCGGTTGGCGGCAACTCTCTATTTGCGTTAAAATAATATGCAAAGAGAAGAACCTAACCAAAGGTAATGTCAATACCCATACAATAAACAACAGTATCTATTTATCATTTGACAGGGACGATTCCTTTGATAAGGTGGCAAAGGGTACTATTGAAGAGACGTATGATGATGGGACAAAACTTCAAGAATAGACAACCTTATAATCTCTTAATTCCAACCCTTTAACCCTAAAACCTCAACAAAACAAATCATTCCAATTTTAAATTTATTACAAAAAACCTTTTTTAACTAGTATTTATACTAAAAATCTAAAACTAATATACATGTATCTAAGTAGTATATAAGAATATAAAAGACCATATAAATGATTCATAATTACTATTCCATATTGTATAAAGTTAACATTCGAAATGAAAAGATGACAATCAATTATTAAATTATTAAGTTATATCATTCCGACAATGATCTAGAATGAGTTTGCCATTAAAATGGATTTTTTTTTATAATTTCAATTTTGAAATATTTTATAAAACTGATATTCCTTTTAATTTTATGTTTTCTAACTTCTAAGTTCAAACTAATTATATTTCTAATAGACAGGCCAACAGATATTTGTACAAGAAATTGATTCATAAGATTAAGTGAAAAGCAATATCATTATTCTTTAATTTGACCAAAGAATGATTTAGTTTTGATTTAATAACAATAATTTATTTTACGTCTCCTAAATTATTTCATAATTAGACATATGTCCGTACTTGTGTGGAAATAAAATTGTATGATAGAAAAGTATTAATATATGTATTTTGTTATAGATAACTAGATAATTGTTATTAGCTATAAAATATTATATTTTATATTAAACTAAAATAATGATTCACTTGTCTAATATTGCAATTACAAAAGCACCTACGGTCATTTGCTATAAAAATATTCCCATCATACAAATATGTTAACCAAGATCATTATGAGAACACAAAATATATTCAACTGTTTAAATGCATTTTTGTACATACAAATGCAAGAGTTTGGTGATAGTTGAGGTAATTATGAATTACTTATCTACCTATAAGATGGGTTTGAATCCACATGATTATTTTATCTTCTCATTTTCTCTTATTAGATTATCATATTTAGCATAATAAATCTCCATTGTCTTACTCATTTCCTAAAACAAATCTATCATTAATCATTAGTAACATAATTTTCTACTTATTATTTTAAAGAAAACATATATCTATATAATTTTAAAATCCACATTTTCAAAATTCAACGAATTGTCTTTAGGATAGTTTAGTGAAATGGGGAAAGAATAGTAGAGTAGCATTGAAATAATTGTTTTGGTCAATGAATCCTAATATTGTCCAAAACCAAGTATAAATAAAAGGAAACAATTCATAAATAGCTTCAGAACTCTCTCTTACTCTTTTCACGTTTACAGTAATTCTTTCCCTTTCTGGAAACAATTCCTCCTCGCTTTCTTCTTGTTTCCGTCCATTACTCTTCTCTTTCTCTCTCTCACACACACATACACACACTCGATCTTTCTATATCTCTCCACCACAATTCAGCGATATCAATCTATGCTTTCGTGTTTTATTTGTTCAGATCGGAGCTACCAACAACATATCGGATAAACAGCGATTGCGAAAATGGCGAGGGGAAAGATCCAGATCAAGAAGATAGAAAACTCAACCAACAGGCAAGTCACGTATTCCAAGAGGAGGAATGGATTGTTCAAGAAGGCGAGTGAACTCACTGTGTTGTGTGATGCTAAAGTCTCCATTATCATGGTGTCTTGTACTGATAAGCTTCATGAGTACATAAGTCCTTCCATCACGTACGTTATTCTCTCTCTCTCTCTCTCTCTCTAGAAACCCTAGCTTTAGGTTTTGGTTGTTATGTTCTTACTGATTTTGATTATGTTTACGCCAGGACGAAGCAGTTCTTCGATCAATATCAGAAAGCAGCTGGAATTGACCTTTGGAACTCCCATTATGAGGTTCTTTTTCCTTAAATTTCACTGTTCTACTTATTAATTTCCTCTTAGGGTTTCCTTGTGGACAACAAGACTAATTATTAAAAAAAAAAAAATTCTCAATCGATTTATCTTTCCTCTCTCACACAAATGGAGCTAACTGCTTTCGAACACAATCTACAACCCATCTTTTTCTGTTATTATTAGCAACTTCATGATGAAGAAATTGGTTTCAAAAGTTGTGAATATGCTTTGAATTGAGGGGAATCATAAAAAATTTAGTACCTAAACGATCCATGTTGTTGCACAGGTAATAGGAAGGCAAAAGTTCACCCTAGGGTCTAACCTGTTATGATTACAATTCCTTTTAGTTGATTTGAGCTTTTGCATATTCATTCTTACAGCTTTCATTGCCATTTCTCTATATATATAAGTATTTTAAGATTACTTAACTAAACACTCAAGTTTCAATTTTGTTTGAATGTTGTATACTTTATAAAACTTTTTTTAACCTAAACCCGGTTATAATTTATACGGGTTAAAAAGTTGAGGCAATGTCACCAAAATACAAATCAAGTTTCCTTATTCCACCTAGCTAATTACTTAACCTTAATTTTTATGAGGTTTAAGCATTCAAGTTTTAATTTGATGTAGAAAATGCAAGAAGAACTGAGACAGCTGAAAGAGGTGAACAAAAATCTAAGAAGGCAAATTAGGTACTAAGTTAGAAATTACCCAAAATTTATTCTCTTCACAAATTAGTATATATTTTTATTTCAAATATCTTTTAACAAATTTCATTATTTTTATGGGAAAAAGGCAAAGGTTGGGTGATTGTTTGGAACATTTAGGATTTGAAGAGTTGCTTGATCTTGAAAAGGAGTCTCAGGAAGCTGTTTACATCATTCGCGAACGCAAGGTTATATAATTTCATTTTTAATTTTTTTTTAGAAATACACGCTAACTTATTGTTTTGAGCTTTTTTAGGTTGTTTTATTTATCAAGCTAAAAATAATTTATAATCTAGCTATTTAAAAACTACTAATATAGAAATTTCTCATACATATTATACCCTTGGTGAGTTTCTTTTGGAAGAGAGTATACCCTTAGTGAGTTTAAGTGTATAATTTATTTTCAAAAGGGAAAATTATAAGTTAAAGTTTTATATTAGAAGAACCTTTTTATTAGTTAAACGTAATGTGACTTGATGATGGCAGTAAATTATAAGGAATTATTCGATAGATATTACTTTCATTATTACTCAACAACATATTTAATTACACACATACAAAAGAATAAACAATTATCTAAAGATTTAATCATGATAACATTCTAAAGTCACTACATAAGATGCTAAAAATTAATGTTAATATTGTGAATATGATATACAGTGCATGAAAAACACTCTTCTCAGAAGGAAAACAAAAAACTCAAAAATACAATTACTTTTTTGAAATTGTATATCTTTCTTATTTTAATGATTATTTGTATTGATATTGGCTTTTTGGAACAACAAATGCAGCTGAAGGTGATTGGTAACAAGTTGGAGACTTCTAAGAAAAAGGTAATTAATGATATAAACTCTATCAACAATCTTTGGATTCACAGCTTCACCTAAAAATCGATTGAAAATCATTTTATTTTATTTCAGGTGAGGAGTGCTCAAGACGTCTACAAAAAACTAATGCATGAATTTGTAAGCCTTCAAAACTCCAACTCTTCAACTTTACAATAATCTCAAATGATTTTCCTACAATCTTGAAACTATTGTGCACCATATCTTTAGATTTGTTATAAATGACATCAAAGAAAAAAAAATCATACTATTTTTTTTATGGTTTAAAGGAAAACACGTCTTTCAACAAGTTATCGATTTAACTACTGTATTATTACTTTATTTTTATCAATTTTGCCATTAAATTGTTATTTTATTGATTTAGCCTATGAACTAGTATTATAATAATCATATTATAATACTAGTTCTGTGGATAAAGCGATAACATAGTGAAGTATGTTATGTTTTTCTGTATCTTTCTCCTTTCAAAACCGATAAAAATGGTTTTATATACAATAAAAATAAATATGATAATTAAATGATTAAATTTAATCGGAACAAGTTGATTGAATTGAATGTAGGGAATAAGAGGGGAGGATCCACAGTACGGGATGATAGAAGATGGAGAGTATGAAGCAATGTATGGATACCCGCCACAAATGACTGCACCACGTATCTTGACTCTACGTTTGCAACCTAACCATCCGAATAATCTCCATGCCACGACATCCGACCTCACCACATATGCCTTGCTTGGCTAGCTAGTTAGTATGTAGCAAATTAATCCACTCTTCTTATCAAGGGTATTTGTGACACTCATTAGCCATACCCTTCACTTATTTATGTTTTATGGTTTTTATATGTGAAATATGTTGTGATTGATCAAGTTAAATCTTATTTTTACTATGTTTTTTGTTGTGGGAAAGACCAAAACTCATGTTGATTTTATTAAATCTGAATTATGAAACTACATTTGGTAATGACAAATCAAAAATAAAGTTTTTATTTCAGGCATATGCAACCAGGAGATGAAACAATAATATGACAACATGTCAAAATTAGTTGGTTAATTTGTAAGTGAGTTATTATGTTCCAAACAAAAAAATGTATAATTATTGTATGTATGCAAATTGGTTGGGTCGATTCGAGTTAATAAACCCATGATCTCTCTTGTATTAAAAGGAATATATTATACTTTTATTTTGTTTATTTGTGCATAATCATTACAAATTGAGATTCTAATCCAAAGTAATTACATAAATGGTACAAAACGACTGAATATTGATGAACATCTTGCTTCTCGGAGGAATATGAGATTGGAATGGGGCTTCTGCGTAGTGTTGGTGCTGTCGAAAAATATATACTAGTTGTATCTTAGGTCAAGCATGATGATACTCTCTCATGATGAAGTCTATATTTTGTGTCCATGTACCCATGATCTCTCATATATCAAAGAAATGGTATTTCATTATCATAAAATAATTTTTTCATGTACCCTAAAGTGGGAAAATGCTAACATGTACTCATGTTGAATTATAAGGATTTAATGTTACAAACTTATAATTCATTGTATCCTTTTAAGTATCCTTTTAATATTTTAGTTTATTTATTTTATATATATATTTGCTTGTGTTTGTTATGGTTTTGTGCAGGGGGGGTATATTTTGTGCAGTTTGTAAAAATAATGGACTGGAATAATGAGATGGTGAAGTTATGAAACACGCGGGTTATATCCGATCCATATTATTGATCAGTGACCCGGTTGACTAGTCAGTTGTATAAATGAGATGTTATGTGTGAGGACTGTAGACACTTGTTCTTCTTTATATTGATTTCTTCTTTCTCTCGTTATTAGGGTTTCCAGTTCATAGTTTTAATCTTCTATTCTTAATCTGTCATTCATGAGGTGTGTAGATTAGGTGAGTGATTTGTAGTGAGGTTCTATGTAGAGAGAAGAGTGTTTTATGTAGTGAGGTTTTGATTTGTAAGTATTCTTGAAAACCTTCTGGTTCTTAATAAATAAGAGTTGTTGATGTTGTATATTCATGTGTTCGTGTTTCTTTTGATGGTATCAGAGCCAGTTACGGTGGTTTGTGATCTGTTCTTCGTCTAGATCGAGTTAGGGTTTCACGTCTAGATCGAGTTAGGGTTTCAGGTTATTTCAACTAGATCGAGTTAGGGTTTTAGGTCTTGTGTCTGGATCTGATTCTTGTTCGTTCTTTTTCTCTCCTCGGGTTTTTGGATCTGTTATCAGATCTAGGGTTTCTTTTCGATCTGTTCAGATCTTGAGGTTGGTGTTCATCAACCTGGTTGTTTTCTTGTCACATCTTAAGAGTACACGATCGTGGTAGTTGTAAACGATTAGGGTTAATTTTGTGTTAATCCTAACTGCCAACGCTATCACGTCGGTCAACGTTAAGATTATGCAAGCAAGGTTCTAAAATCAGTTTGGTTCTGGCATTTGAATGCATGTTTCGGTTTTCAGCGGTGATTCTGTTTTTCAGAACTCATCGGAACTACATTGCTGCTTGCTGAGCTTATTATCTGTGGATCTTTGTAAGTTTCTCACACCTCTCTGTTTTGTTGTATTGTTCTTGATAGATCAGTTATCTTCTGATCATATAGTTTTCACGTCTGTAAACTAGCTTGCTCTGGCCTTCTATGTGCTATGATTATTGTCTAGTTTATAGAAACTACTGTGGAAGTGTGTGATTAGGTGTTGGATTCCTGATTTATCTGATTTCTTGATTGGTTTTTCTTTCAATCATGTCTGATACACCACCTGAATCATCTGGTAAAAATGATGTTGTTGATCCTCTGTATTTGCATCCTTCGGATCATTCTGTGACAACTATTATAAGTTTCAAACTTCTTGGTACTGGGAATTTTAGGGTTTGGAAAAGTTCCATGACGAGGGCTCTTAAATCCAGAAATAAACAAGGGTTTATTGAAGGAACTGTATTAAAAGATAATAAGGATGTTGTTAAATCTCTAAAATGGGATAGAGTTAATGCTATTGTATGTTCTTGGATACTTAACTCTCTTTCTGAATCCATTTACATTGGACATGCCTGTTATGAGTATGCTTTGGATGTTTGGAATGAGCTTTGTGAAACCTATTATAAGGGTGATGGTTCAGTTGTTTTTAATATTCTTCAACAAATTAATAATCTCACTCAAGGTAGTTTGTCTGTATCTGATTATTTTAATAAGTTGGATGGTCTATGGAAAGAATTTGATGGGTTAACTAAGTGTCCTGATTACACTTGTGAAGCTGCTACTCATACTAAAAATCATTCTAAACTCATGAAACTTATGCAATTTCTCAGTGGTCTTGATGACTCCTATAACGAGGTTAAGAGTCATATTATTATAATGGAACCATTACCTGATGTTAAAACTGATTTTTCCATTTTATCCAAAGAAAAGTCTAATCAGAAACATGGGAATATTTCTGTTTTGTCTAATAAATGTCAAAATTCTTCTGGTTTTGCTGGTAAAATTACTGATAATAAAAAATTTAAAGGTAGAAATCAGAATCTAATCTGTAAAAATTGTGGAATTAAAGGTCATACCATTGAAAAATGTTATAAGCTTATTGGATATCGTAAGGATTTTAAACCCAACTCTGAGTTTAATAAGTCATCTACTTCTACTGTGTATAATACTGCTTCTCATGTTAGTGAAAGTATTAATGCTTCAGTTGTTTCTTCTGATAAGTCTAATCATCATTTTTTAACAAATGATCAATACACAAAGTTAATGCCACTTCTTCATGAGAAAAAGTTATCAGAAGGTGTACCTGCAAATGCTAATATGGCAGGTATGACTTGTAATAATGTTTTCTTTAATAAAAGAAAATGGATTGTTGATTCAGGAGCAAGTCAACATATGACTGCTTCTAAATCACAACTTTCTGATGTGGTTGATGTCTCCAAACTTAATCTAAGAGTTTATCATCCTAATGGTTCAACTGCTAAAATAGATAAGATTGGAAATATTAATCATTTTTATTCTATTGTTTTGTCTGATGTCTTTGTTATTCCTGATTTTCATGTCAATCTATTGTCTATTCACAAGATTTGTAAAGAAAATAAGTGCAGAGTTGTTTTTGATGAAAATAACTGTCTTATTCAGGTGTTACTATCGATGGAGACTGTGAAGACTGGTAAAGAATTTGGAGGTCTTTACTATTTGGAAAATCAATTGTTAGGTAGGTCAAATTCACTAATTAATAGTCATAAATGTTTTGTATCAAAATTAACATGGCATAATAGAATGGGACATCCAGCTGATAAAGATTTAAATGTTTTAAAACCTTTTTTGAATTTTGATAATGAGTAAGTTATGTCATGTGATGTTTGTCATAAGGCTAAACAAACTAGGGAACCTTTTCCTTTGAGTGAGCATAAGTCCTTTAGTCTAGGGGAACTTATTCATTTAGATGTTTGCGGTCCCTATAGAGTTGCTGCTATTGGTGGTTTTAGATTTTTTTTTCTCACTATTGTAGATGATTTCACTAGAGCTACATGGGTTTTCTTCATGGAATCTAAAGATGAAGTGTTTGATTGCTTTCATGAATTTGTTATGTTATTGGAAAATCAATTTAGTGTTAACCTAAAGGTTATTAGAGCTGATAATGGAACAGAATTTGTTAATCAAAAAATGAATAGTTTTCTTGAAACTAAAGGAATTATTCATCAGACTTCCTCTGTACACACTCCACAACAAAATGGAATGGTAGAACGGAAGCATAGACATTTATTAAATGTTGCTAGATCTTTATTATTTCAAGCTGGGTTGCCTAAAAATTCCGGGGAGATTCTATTTTAACTGCTGTTTTTTTTAATAAATATCCATCTTCTGTTTTAAATGGTAAAACTCTTTTTGAATTAATCTATAATCGTGTTCCAGTGTATGATAAAATTCGTGTGTTTGGATGTTTAGCTTTTGCTACAAAATTAAACAATACTGATAAATTTTATGAACGTTCTGAGAAATGTGTTCTTATTGGTTATTCTAAAGTTAAAAAAGGTTACAAGTTATTTAGTCTTGATAATGGTTCTTGTTTCTTTTCCAGGGATGTGAAAATTTATGAGTTTGTCTTTCCTTTTAAGTTGGATTCTAAATCAAGTGAAGTTTCTCAATTTCTTGAGACAACATTTTTAGATAATAAGGATCCTTGGGATCCATTTTCCAATGATGAACTTTTGTTTTCTGAAAATTTTGATGATAATCAAAATAGTGGAGTATCAAGTTGTAATAATCAGGATGGTGATACAGTTGTTGATCAACCATCAAGTGCAACTGATTTTGGTATTTATGGTAGTCCTAGTTTAGATGCAACTATATCTAATCAAGAAGGTACTCTTGGTTGTGAAACTTCTGGTTCGCAACCTGAGACTGTTGCATCCTGAGGAAAACCTTAATAATAGTATTTCTACTTCTGATTCTCAGTTGCTAGGGGTTAGAAAATCTAATCGTGAGTCTAGGTTTCCTAAAAAATTTAATGATTTTGTTATAGAAGGAAAGTATAAATATGGAATTGAAAGATCTGTTAAGTATTCTTTTCTTAGTCTTGATAACAAATGTTTTGCAACCAATTTAAATAAGTCTGTTGAACCACAATCTTATTATCAAGCATCCTTAGATCCTAACTGGGTAAATGCTATGAATGAAGAAATTGAAGCTTTGTTACTTGAGAAATCTGTGATTTACCTGCTGATAAAAAAAAACTCATTGGTTGTTAATGGGTGTATAAAATAAAGTATAAATCTAATGGTGAAATAAAGATATTTAAGACAAGGCTTGTAGCTAAGGGATATAACCAAAGAGAAGGGATAGATTTTGATGAAACTTTTTCACCTGTTGCAAAAATGGTTTCTATCAGGATTGTTATTTCTCTTGCAGTTAATTTTAATTGGTATTTATTTC